CAGGGTTTTTGCGCTCAGAGGTCGGCAGGGCACATGGCTCTTCGGCGCTTCCCCCAGACCCTGTGAGACGAGCCCGGCTGAGTCCCCAGCGCAGCAGAGCTTTATTGCAGCAGGAAACCGGGCGCAGGCAGAGGATTGGCAAGGCCCTGGGGGGACAGCTGGGCTCGCGCAGTGCCCTGAGGCCAGCAGCCCTCGGGGCTGGGGGCGACACGGTGGCTTGGCCCCTCGGGCCCTTGGCGCTCCTCAGTGCGGCGAGGTTTTGAGCAGCGGGGGTGCGGAGAGCGTGGGGCACAGGGGTGCGGGATTGTGTCACAATCCCACGTAGCTGTTCTTGCAGGGCGGAGGGTGGCCAGGGCCCCAGCCGTCACAGACAGTGGGTGGTTGCTGCTCTCCCAGAGGGGCTCATAGCTGTCCTTGGGGGGCAGCTCACTCACATAGCAGATGTTCTCGCTGTAGTTGGGCTTGAAGCTCTCCACGACGTCTTTGGGGACTCCGGCCCATTCCTCCAGGGAGCAGATAAGGGTGAGAGGAGCCACCACACAGCCCAGCCCCAACCCCCCAGGGCAGGGGGTGAGGCCAGGGCAGGTGTGCACACAGCCGCCTGTTGCCGTTGTGGGTGATGAAGAGCTCGTCGAAATTCTTGCTGGGGTTGGGGATTCGGGGCATGAGGATGACCCACACCCTGTGCAGGAGAGAGGTGTCAGAGGGGAAGAGTCCCAGCACTGCTGCCTCTCACCAGCCCCCCGCACTCACCTTTCCATGCGCACCAGCAGGACAACAAGGACCAGCAAGACCAGGCAGGAGGCAATGGGGATCAAGACCGTGTGGATCCAGAACCAGTGCAGCTGCTCCTCCGCTGGGCCTGGAAAGAGCTGAGGTGACACAGGTCCCCGGCCGGCGCACCACCTCAGCAGTGCGGTGGGCATGCTGGCGGCTCTTCATGGATGGCCATGGGAGCTCGGCATCATCCGTGGCAGGGCTCAGCTGGGAGCGGAGGATGGAGGAGGGGCCCATCCCCGAGCCCTGCCGCGCTGTCACCACAGCTGGCTGGTAACCCTGTCCTGGAGTGGCCGTGCCAGAGCAGCCCTCCAGGGCTAAGAAACCCCTGGCAAAAGTCAGCAGGTCCTGCTGGTGGGGGCGTTTGGCTTCCAGAAGTGCAAAGGACGCAGGGGCCAATGCAGCTGCCTGTGCCCCAGGCCCTGCACGGGTCTCACCCCTACAGCTGCTGCCTTGGGCCACTTTTCCACTTGCTTGGCCATCCCTCACCTGCTGAGCCCCACCATGCCCCAGCCCGACCCGTCCCACTGCAGCCCCCAGCACCTACCCTTGCTGGTGGAGTTGCTGCCCCAGACCACGGGGACACTCCACTCGCTCCAGAGCTTGGTGCTGCCGCAGTAGCTGTTGATCTTGCTGCGCACATAGAAGGTATAGTACTTCTCATAGTCCACGCTGGGGAAGGAGAAGGTGTCTCCTTTCACCTGGTGCTCCTGCAGAGGGACGTGGGCCATGCGATGAGGGCCGGCACTGCCGTGGAGGCTGGTGCACCGCTTGTCCCCGGGCACAACCGCAAGGGTTGCCGCATCCGGGGGGCTCTCACCGTCCAGCCAGTGTCCTTGTTGCTCTTGTACTTGACGGCATGCTCCAGGCACTGGGCTTTGGGGTATGGGGAGGTCCAGGTCAGCTGCAGCTGGTTGCTGCTCATGTTGTGGATGGTCAGGTTGACAGGCGTCCCTGGTTTCACTGCAAGGCACACATGATGCCCGGTGAGTGCCGTCCCCATACCCTGGCGGCCCCGCTGCCAGCCAGGATGTGATGAGGCAGCCCTGGGGACCCAGAGCCCCACTCCTGCCCCACAGCAGCCCCACAGAGGAGAGTGGGTGCCCACCACCGTTCTGTACCCAGGTCCTGCAGCTCCATGCGCTCGCTGGGGATCTTCAGGGTCCTGCCGCCGAGGCTGGCATTGACGAGGACACGGAAGGGCTGGAACTGGATGATCTCACTCTGGTTGAAGTGGCAGCCAAATCTGATGCCCCGGTCCTGCAGGTAGTGCTTGCACTCCACCACGGGGGACCTGTTCTCGTACCTGTGCCGCAGCAGGTTATCAGGGCTCCCCGAGACCCCGCACACCCCAGCCCTCCCTGGAATCCCTCTCCCTGTCACATGCCATCCCCTTTGTCCCGGAGACAGAGCCTCCCCCACCCTGGGATTGGAGAAGAGGAGCAGGCTGGGACCAGCGATGCTGGCAGAAGCCTCCCGTGCGGGGACCCACTGCTGGACACCCTGCTTGTGGGGCTGGCCGTGGGGCAGGGGCACCTACCAGTAGTAGAGGGAGTAGTTGGCCGTGAGCGTCTCGCTGTTCCCCCATGTGCAGTTCATGTACTCCTCGTTGAAGACGACACACTCCACCTCTGCAAGGAACAGACACCGCTGGGCACCGTGGTGGTGGGCGGGTGCACCAGGGCCCAGAGGTGCACTGGGGAGACGCAGCACATGCCAGGGGTCCCTGCACATCCCGGTCAGCCTTCCTCTGGGTGAGCCAAACAAGCCCAGCTCCTCCAGACGGAGCGGCAGTGCAGCCTGCCTGCAATGCCGGGCTCACACCATCCTGTTCGCACACGCTGTGTTGGTGAGGCCTGGGCTGCCAGCAGCCCCACATCTTCCTCCAAAGGAC